AGAGAAAGACAGACAGAAAGAGAGAGAGAGAGAGAGGGGGGGGGGGTAAAGTGCATGGATGATCAGATTGCTCAGAGGGCAATAGAGGCAGAGATGGAGGGACAGGGAGGAGGACGAGGGAGGTGAGATAGGGTGATGAAATAAACGAAAGGGAGGGGAACCGGAAGGTTCCTGGGCAACGTTCCACCAGTGCATCAACTCCCTGCAGCCACACCCCATCATACACTATCAATATCGACTGCCAACAGAGACACACAGCAGTGTTCATATCTCTCTTTCTTTTTGGTCTTCACATTTCATGTCACACACAGGACATGGAAAGACAAAGTTACAAAAAATGTAATGTAGTGATGTAGATACAAAATAAAGACGACGAATGTTAAATCTCAGAATAGCATGAATCGTTTTTTACCTGCCTACTTGGAAACAATATATAAAAAATCCGAATACCATATGGAAACTGAATACAATAAATAAAATGCAGGTTATCTTGTGTATTGCAGCATATGGTGAGTAGGTAGCTGCTAGAGCTAAATCTAAAAATGTCCTGGTAGAGATAGTGGGGAATAGTTGCTGCCAAAGAAAGTGTTGCTGAACATAAAAATAAACCCTGAAGAATCTGTCTTGTCAATTAAGCAAGGTTAGTGCTTTTACCTGAGAACACTGCAAAGCAACCCCCCCCCCCCAAAAAAAACAAACAAACAAAAAAAAACAGAAGCACAACTCCAAAGAAAAAAATAAAGCCAAATGTCAAAAACTGCTGTCCTTAAAATCTGATGTTTTTATAACTTGGCCAACTAGTATGCTAATTTTCTATCAGCTCTGACTTATAGCCTGGGGCTAGCCCGGAGCTAGCCATGAGCTACCTAGCTAATACTAGTGTTAGCTAATGATGCACAAGCTGTACTAAACAAAATGGTGAAAACTATGACAGGCTTAAAAAAATGACAACTCTTAATTTTCAGTTTCATAATTTAATTTCCTTTTTCCCCTCCCAAAATTAACATCCAATTGATTTAACAGTGCTAGCTGCAAGCTAACTTTTAATTTACAGTATACTGTAAACTAGCAACCCCTTGTAGTGTTGACTCCCATGCGCTACCATTTTACCATCTTTTCCAAATATGGTAACATATTTTGTTTTCTACCTCTTAACAAGCCTCAGCTAAAGTTAGCATCAAATGAGTTTACACTGAAACCTAGCTAACCTGCGCTAATATTAACAGATCGCTCGAGAATTCTACACTCTACTCCACATTAATTTTTGTTTATCAGATGGAAATTATCTTCAGCATGCCTTAATTTATTCAGGGTTAATTAAGCCTTGTTTCTGACAGAGAATGTTGTTTTAACCTAATTTCAAGAAAACATATTTTTGTATTGGGCCAGTTGAGTTTAACTTATTGAAGATGGTTATTGAATTATGATGTCAATGAGAGCACATATCATTAATATAGTCATCTCAGGATTATGGACATCTGTAGCACTAGCTGTGGGAACAGAAGCCCCACCAATCTATAACTTTCTGTTTGTGAGAGGTAGCCAATCACAAAAGGGGAAAAGGGGGCAAGTGAGAAAGGAACCAATCCAAAGCTTGTATAAAAAAAGGATTATTTTGAGCTGTTAATCATAAAAATTCTTCTAGTACAATCCAAGAATACAATTATAGAGTTATCTTCAGCATGGAATTAAAATTCTTGGAGGCACTAAAGTAATTAGCAGAAAATACTAGACTCCCCTGGTAGCGTCAGATATAAATAGGCTTATCCCTTATTATTAATAATTACTGGACATTCTAGAGTAATATTAGTCCCACAAGAACAGAAGTCTAAACACTGTGGGCTTTATCTAGAACAGCATATTTCTTTGACACGAGAAAAAAAACAAAAAACCTAAAAAACCATCAGGATGAACAGGATCTGGTTGGTTGCGTTCATTCAGGTGAGCGGACACCTCACCTTATTTCCTTACCTGCTGTCCTGGATTTTCTGTCGATTGTATCGGATGTGGAAGTCTCTAAGCTCCTGTATCACTCCTGCAGACAACATATCTTCTACACGAGCATCCAGCCGCTTGTCTAGAGCTGAAGGACAGAAAGAAGTAGATATGACAAATGTAGCATAGAAATAAAGACACTTTCCACATTTCAAAGCTTGTTTTATTCCCCCACACAAAGAGCACATCTACAAGTCTCCCTCCTTACCCTCTATGTCAGCATGCAGCCAGAAGATGCAGGGGTCTTTATACCTTAGCGGCCCCCCAAGACCATCACCGCCTTCCTGCCCCCTCTGCTCCTCCAGCAAGCGGCTATGTGGAATCCCCGTCTCTTTGTGGATTTGCAGACTCCTGTGTAAGTTTTAAGTTCAAATCAAACACTTGAAATCCACATGTACTATGAAGTTTTATTGAACTCCTTGTTCATAAGGCCTGGAGGGTAAACTGAAATTACATAACAATCCGGTCAAATGAAGAGTACAATGTTCATTATTGCTGCACCAGGGGCATATCCTTCAGAAAAATGAAGACATAAAACAAGAAAAAATACAAATAATTATGAAGAACAAACAATCTCTCAATCCTTTTCTCACCAGGATACTTTCAAAGTGAGCTTCAAAATCCAACACACCAAAACTCTCGACCTGTTGAGATTTAAATCTAAACCAAACTTGTGGCTGTGTGCTCAGGTTAAGAGGAAAAGATCATCCTTACCAGCTCATATTAAAGAACTGGGTAACTTAACCTGAGGCCACAGTGCATGCTACACATCATGGAGCACAACACATGCCCCAACACAACATCCACATCACTAAAACTGACAGATTACCCTTCACCAGCTGTATCACCTGGCTATCTTGCGCTTGTCATTTGGGTGCAACATGGCAGCCATATCGGGGTCCACCTCGGCCAGTCGTTTATGCAACTCAGCTCCTCCCAGTTTCTCGAGCTCGAGCTTCCTGTTCGGAGACCCATCCCCTCCGTCCCCCGGCTCCTTGTTCTCCTGCTGCGAGACAATTTGTATTTGCAAAAGCTGCCTTCGAACACTGCCATTAAGCTCCTGCTTCCAAATCTTTAACACATTACAAGGTCCGTTTAGAGCGGTGCCTAGAGTCAGAAGTAATGTGCAATGAAAACAGAGATTAAGATGAGAAAAAGCACCCGTGGCAGTTTTATTAACAGTAAATGACTATGCAGCATGAAGAAATGAAACTAAAGTGAAATATTACATTATCTTCAAGCTGCGAAAGCTTAAGCACTCTGGCTTAATGTTGTTATCAAAAGTAAAATGGGTAAAGATAATAAGACATTTATACATTTAAGAGATTAACAGTACAAAAGACAGAAAGGACAGAGAGCGGTGTATTCAAGTTGAGCATCTATGACACTTACGCCAGTGTCCAACAGGACTTTCCACAGCAGAGACTCAATGTAATAGTTTGTTCCTCCAACAATGATTGGCAGTTTTTTCCTCTTGTGCATGTCATCTATGTTGGAATGTGTCAAGGAAGAAGTTTATCCCAGCGTATTTTGCATGGCTTAACAATTGCAGGACATTGTTGTGCATTCATGTACAATCTAAAGTAATTAAAAATATCATTGTTTAATTGAGGTAGAAAGAGTGAATACATCATATTCCTAATGAAAACTTTAAGACCTGTGATGACTACATTATGAACCAGTATTTCAGGAATTCTGGGTTTTCCCTTTATGCTACTGTTGAAGTTAACAGCATCAGTAGTATTTCAAAACACTCAAATATTATTGGACTTAATGGATGGATACATGAAATTTGTTTGTATTTTTATTTGTGCTGCCAAATATTAACGCGTTATCACAGATTACGCCATCATCACGATTAACGTGATTTAAAAAAATAAATAAATAAATAACACAATTAACGCGAGTGCAGAATGGCTCAAAATCCCTGAAATGTTTCCGTCAACGCATTTCGGGCAGTTTGTCCAAGTAGAGTTACCTTCGCACATGCGCAAATGAGCAGTTGATCTGGTAGTGACGGGCAGCTGAACCAGTCAGCTCAATAGTAGACGTAATTACATATTAAAAGATTTCCAAAGGGAAGAAATTGAAAAAATAAGAACTGATTATATCACCTTCCCTATCCCTTCTAAAGGGAAAGAAGTCCAATTTAAAATTTTGAATAAAATTTACCCGACAAATAGACTCCTTGGTGATAGATTCAAAATAGAAACTGGTAATTGTGTATTTTGTGAAACAGAAGAGGAGGATTTGGACAATCTATTCTTTTTGTGCAATTTCATACAAATATTTTGGTTGGATTTTCATACCTGGCTTTATTCCAGTGGGATTCAAATTACCCCATTTACCTTAAATATGATAATGTTTGGAGTGTTTTTGAAAGAAAAGAAAGCTAATTATGGTGTTAATGTGTTATTAATCTTGTGCAAGCAATTTATAAATAAATGTC